GCTCTTGCCTCCTTGCGCTGTAACTGCGTTTCATACATTAAAACTACATATACATACGTACATAAATATGTACATAAGCTTGCACGTCAACGCCAATCGATTGTTGGTTGAGTGAAATATTAAAGACCGCCAAAGGAATGCGCTTAGTCGACCTCCTTATATCCGCTGTGTGTATGTATGTATACATATATTTTTGATGGGTTAATTCATATTCTGTGTGTTTGAATTGGCTGCGATTTTTGTTATGGTTTTGCTTGACTTTCGTTGAAGTGGCTTTCACTTTTATGTATGGCCTCTGGTTGGGTATGGTTAGTTGTGTTCGTCTTGTAAACTGTTTGTGGCAGTGTTTGAGCCCACAAAGTTAATTAGTTGTGGGCGAAAATTTTATATGAAACCACTTAGATATTAACGATTCGCCGTCCACATGGCACCTAAGATTTTAGTACGTACAAAATGTGTACACTTTCCTTAGTGCTCTGTGTGGTTTATGGTTATAGAAGAATATTTTTGATTGCAGTATAAAGCTTAGGTCACTTGCTCTTTGTGCTGGCATTGTCGTTTTCCGGCTGTTGTATGCAAAGTGTGTACGGGCATATATAAATAAATAATTAGTGCAGAGCAGGTGAACCAATTTCCGATTTCTAGACTAGGTAAGCAAATTTTCTTGGTATTATTAATTTGGTGCATTGGCACTAAAACCCCGGGCGCAAAATTGAGATACTGCGATTTTTTTGCTGCAGCTCAAACTTTGTGTTTAACCGTTTTTAATAGTGCGTCGTGATATTTGATACCCATTTTGTGCCCAAAATTTGAAAAATTGGTATATTCACACGAATTCAGTTTTACAGGGGAATATGAAGTAAAACAAGTAAGAAAGTCTAAGTTCGGGCGGAGCCGAACATTAAATACCCGGCGCAAATATTAAATATATGATTTTCATCTTTCCGAAAGCTACCGCTACATGGTAAACCGGGGTGTATCAATTTTGAGTAAATTAGCGTCCTTAAATTTCGAATGAATTGAAGTTTCAAGCATTTCTGAAATTTACCGTTAAATGAAAGGCGGCCGCAATTTTAGTCCGATTTCAATAATTTTCAACGTTTTGCTTTTATGTGGCAAGCACAATAACCATACCGAGTTTGGTACAAATGGTAGAATGGTGGTTACCGAGTGCCACGCCCATTTTCCAAAATTTTATCATAAACGTATTTCTTGGTAAGGAGTTGTTGCAAGCATCAATTTTGAATAAATTAGCTTTAATATTTACTGATTTATCGAAGGTTTTGTATTTCTCTAAATTACCGTTATATGGGATGTGGGCGTTGTTATTGTCCGATTTTAAAAATTTTCGCCCATTTTGTATCCTGTACCAAGGCCAAGAACTGTGCCAAATTTGAAACCATAAATGGCCGTGGCTACGCTCATTTTATAAAAATTTATAATATTCGTATTTTTTGTCAGAAAGTTATTGTAAATATCAGTTTTGAGTGGATTATCTTCAGTAGTTACTAAAATATCGAAGTTTTCGTATTTCTGGAAATTACCGTTACATGGAAAGTGGGCGTGGTTACAGTCCGATTTCGCCCATTTTCAATACCAACCTACCTTGGATAAATGGAAACCTACATACCAAATTTCGTTGAGATATCTCAATTTGTGCTCGAGTTATGGTGTACACGAACGGACGGACAGACAGACATGGCTTAATCGACTTCTCTATTCATTCTGAGCATTTATATATTTATAAATGGCCAGAATCATTCAGTTGGGAACCATTTTCTACCAGACTTCTAAAGCGCATTGAATGTTTTTTATTTTATGCAAAGATTTTTAGAAGGATCAGTGTGTTTGTCTTCCGATAGGTGCCGCAGGGATTGAGAGCTATCCTAAAATCATGTTTATGATCAGATTTGTTTCACTTTTAGAACACATAAAATGTGGTGTAACTTGGTAGCCTAATCGTGTGATGCAAAAATATTGGGCTTCAGGCCCAACAACAACTCCTATAAAACCGCCGTTAGAGAAGGGAATATTATACTTTCTTTTACGCGTTCGAGGTATTTTCCTAACCTCTATCGATTCTGACGAAACGAAAGAGGAGGTAATGCAATTATTTGGTTTTCAGTTTTACTGTAAATTCGGTAAAATTTTGGTGGTGGACTTCAAAATCGTCACCCACATAAAGGAATTCAGCGTACATGCATAATTGGTTAGGTATATATATATATATATGTATGTATGCATATATTTAAATGTCGGTTTGCTATTCGCGCGACAAGCTTTTTTAAAAACGAAGTAAATTAATACAAATTGTTAGTAATTTTCATTAGAGTTTGAATAACTCCTTTCACTAAATGGCTTTTAGTAACTTTAACGAGACCTTAACTTATTTTATTTTATTCATTTTAGTGCAGTTTTGACAAAATTTTCTTGCTAAAAAATCTTTTGTTACACTACTTTATTTTATTCCTTTGATTGTACATGTTAAATAAAAGCTTGTTATTAAAAAATATTTTTTTTACATTATTTTATTTTATAATTTTTAGTCCATTTATAAAAGCGTTGTATATTAAAAAGTGTTATTTCATTTTATGTAAAAAATTTTGCAATAGATATTAAAATAATTCAACTTGCAATGAAAGAGAACAGAAGACTTGGCAAGCAAAATGTTGTTTGCTTACGGTTTGTATAAACATACATGTGTACATATAGCAGCAGTTAATTTTATTTAAAGAAATGGCGTGTCGTCCATTTCCGTTGTAGCATGGCATATATTTAGGCGCAATATTTAACTTCTTCTGACGGGCCACATCTGGAGTCTTCTAATTCATACAACGAGGTTCATATCTAGACTAGGTTGATATCAGAATTTGCCACAAGTAGCTTTGCTACACTATCGCCGACAGCTTTAACAATTTTATAGTGGTTTTACGTTCTTTGGCAAATTACGCTCTGTTAGCCATAAATCTTACTATTTTTTGACCGCCTTTGAATCGAGACCCCTGGACCATATGGGGGATTCATTTATATTTTAAATTGCATTGTCATCGTGATTGGAACTATGCTGAAAATTTCAAGTCTCTAACTTGTCGGGAAGTCAGTTTAAAATCGATTGGAAATTTCCGCGATTTGCGCGGGATGACCAAGTTAAATAAAAGCTTATAATAAAAATGCTTTCATTATGATTAGAAACTAATCGAATGACCAATCAGCTGACAAAAATAATAAAGGAGCCAACAAACGCTGAATTCGAAGTTGTATTTGAACCCCTAAAAATTATTAACGTCCACAAACCATCAGGACAAAAATGACCGACATTTACCTACTTACAGGTATAACTACATGACATCATCATAACGAACGCAAATGTCGTGATCTCCAAAGATGTGTAGGATATCTATATGTAATTACTTTTACTATTTTCATATATCAAAACAAACAATTTTTTTTCGTGTGCTAATTTATGATTTTACTTTCAGTAAGTAAAGAAATTATGAATCCAGACAAAAATAGCGAAAATACATATAATATAGAACTATTAATACATGGAAGAAAGTACGCATACATATACATATCTACATATATGTACGAGTACTTACATACATATATTTAGTATACTTAAATATTAATCTTTCTATTTTAGGGCATAAATACCAACGCTGCGTTTTCATGCACTGACCTAACCTACGAGGTGTAGAATTAGACGTCAAGAGCAATAACCAAAACAATAACACAAGCACTGAAGACTACAAAGAAGCGTGCGAAATAAGTACGAAATTGCTGACAAGAAAAGGAACAGGAAGGAGCAGCCGCACCAGAAGAAACGAAGCGGGCAAAGTAAAAGAACCCAACGTGTCGTGTGGAAAATCTACAAATCGGCTGTGGCTTACAAACTCAGTTTGTTGAAAAAGAGAACACAAGAGACTATACAAGAGAGAAAAAAATTTCAGCGCGACAATTTTCCTTGAGCCCTTGCAAAAAAAAAACCAAATGATGGAGTTCCAATATGCTGTGAGAGCGCAATTTCAAATGAGATGCTGCGCTTTTGCATCCTACGAACACGCAAATGTTTGTTTTTGATGTTGTGGAACGCATTTGCTGTCGTCGTCTGCGACATTTCTACTCCGGCTGACTGAGGTCAACTCTGTGTGGATGGCAGCAGCCAGCTGCTGGAGCTGGTAAAAATAACACACCCATACAGTTGGGGGCAAATGTTCGTGTATGGTGGTGTGGGGCAGACAATTTTGCGAATCGACGAAATAGCGAAATGTTCATTTCATCCGATTAATGTGAGTCAGTCTTCGCATGATTTTTACGTAGTGCGGTACGCTAAGACGGAATGAGTTGTGTAATTTGTGTGATGCGTAATTTTCCGGCTCAATTACATTTGTGAAAGTTAATTTTGCATCTGAAAAATCGTTATGAGTGCGCGTCTTCATAAATAATGTCGTCTAGAAAACATACAAAAGTAATTTTATTTAGCGAAACAATTGTGGCAATTTAACAAATTACTGATGTTGTAATGCTCATAAGTAGTAGTCGTGCTCAAAAAATTATTGTTGTCTAAAACTAAAAATGCCATTTTCTGCATACACGGCACGAGTACTAAATTTCTTCGCCATCCTCGCTCTGCTGACATTTGTTGTTGCTGCAGCAGTTTTCATTGGCAGATACTTCGAGCGTTCAACAGTTTTGTATGTGAATAATCTGGAGTTGCCGATGAATTTGAAGCATCCAGAGGAGATGCTATAAATAAGCGAATGATTGTAAGAAGGTAAACGAAAAAGGAGAAATTGATTGAAGTAAAGTGAAATAAAATAAAATCGACTAAAATTAATTATAACACAAAAAAAAATACAATAACAAAAAAATATAAAACGGGAAACCAATTAAG